ATTGTTTTTCAGGTAGGATTTAATATGCGGAAAGTGACTAAAGGAAATGTGACAATAAAGTGGTGGGATCTTGGTGGTCAACCCAGATTTCGGAGTATGTGGGAGCGATGCTGTCGTGCTGTTTCTGCTATTGTGTATGTAACTTCTCTCCACCTCATCTGTCATATAATTTGTTACAAATGCTTGTTGGTTGCATGGCACTTAAAAAAAAGTCAAATCTTAAATCAGGATCTGTATAAATTTTGCGAGATGTATATACTGTCATTCAAGGCCTTCTGCGAAATCTCTTTGATATGAAAAGTAACATTTTATCACTATAAGGTGACATTGTGTTGTACTTTAGTATGGGTTTTACTGAAAAGATTCAGAAAAAGTACACATTTACATCCTAATTCGGGAAAAGATTGCGTGCAGTATGCCGGAATTCCATTCATTGAACTTCATCTCTGGCCGTAGGTTATGTCCAAGCTTGGTGTTTTCATTAAAAATATGATTCTGATTGAAGTTTTAAGATTTTAATACCTTGATAATATCATTTTTCATTTCTAATTTGATTTGTCTGCAGTTATGTTGTTGATGCTGCTGATCAAGATAATTCAGTATCTCAAAAAGTGAATTGCATGACCTGCTGAGCAAACCGGCACTTAATGGTATTCCTTTGCTGGTTCTGGGAAACAAGAATGACAAGCCTCAAGCCCTGTCCAAGCAGGGTTTGACTGATCAAATGTAAGTAGAGACAACTACATTTGTGGCACATCAATAACCAACTTATCCTTTGTTTTTCATACAACGGTTAATCAATGACTTGATTTTGATTGTTGTTTCTGGAATGGACCCCATCCATGCGTGTTTTCTTGTGTCTTTGTGGGTTTGGGGGTGGCGCACATTCTTTCGTGTTTTGCAAGACTATGCAGGTTTATTTTTGCCGTTTCTGGATTTTGTAACTTAAAATGACATGTTCTACAGGGATTTAAAATCTATCTCAGATAGAGAGGTTTGCTGCTATATGATTTCATGCAAGAACTCAACGAACATCAACCAGGTCATTGATTGGGTAATTAAGCATTCTAAATCGAAGAGTTGAGCACAAGGACATGTAATTTAATTTGTGTTCAAATTCTCAAGAAATGGATTTCAGATTGTTGTTGATAACAATGCACATTCATCTTTTTGGCTGATTGTCTTGCTTCCTTCTTTGTTTTTTTTTTTTTTTTTTTAGCTTGAGAGAATTTCGATGACTTTCATTGCAATTGATTCGATGTGTGTATTGTAGATGGACTGGAGAAATATTTAACACTTGACTTTCAATGACTTTCATTGCAATTTTTCTTGAGGATTTTTTATGAGAATTATATATTTTATTATCTCTTTTTCTAAATTCTAACATCAAATAGATAAAATTTAATTTTAGTAAATTAATAAAATATTGAATAATTAGAAAATATTTTGTCCCTATTTGGGTCACATTTTCTAAATTTATTTTCAACAGTACATTTCATGGAATAAATAACTTTTATGAACTTTTTTACTAGAGATTTTGTAATTTTTTATTAAAATCTAGTAAAAAAATATTTTTAAATAAACCAACAGTATCTTTTTATTGACATATGTATGATTAATTCGAGTTGACCTCTATAATTCTTCTTATATTACTTTTGTCTTAGCTATAAAATTTCTCCTAAAATTTAATCGTCACGAACTAATAAATAAATTCAAATATGAAAGAAAAATTAAGGAGATACTTCTATCATAGTATATGTCTTATGTAAACTTCAAGAAGCTAAACGCTGCAATTTTAAAAGATCTAAATTAGAGCTTGTTTGGGAAAGATTTTTGGGGGAAAAATTGATTTTGAATAGTGATATGATAGAAAATGTGTGGTTGAAAAAGAAGAAAAAATTATTGATGTAATGGAAAATATTATTTCATTGAAGAATGTATGGTTGAAAATGAGAATTGATTTACTGTAGAAAAATCTAAATCTCTCCCAAACGAGACCTTAATATAACATCTTCATCAGTAATGTCGTTCTTAGGTTGTATTCATGTCTTGTCGATAGTTATTGCACGATAGTAAACTGAGTAGGTTCGAATGCTTCTCTCGGAAGCAATGGTCGAGTTTTAGCTTTCAAGTGGGAATCACTCAAGGTAGTAAGAATTACGATGACACCCAATTACGGCGCAAGAATCCTTTGCATAATGATTTCAGTCAAGTGCATTTGCAAAATATCAAAAGACATTAATATTACACACTGAAAATGTACTAGGAGGAGAAAGATGAGGTTGCTCCGTAAATTTTTATTGTGGAGACTTGAAAGTAGAGGAAATGCGTTTAAGTTCCAAATTCGGCAATACTCTGTAAGGACGGTCTCCATGGGGCTCCAACACAATGCCTTCCCACACCTCTACCGCAATTAGTGCTGCTTCCTATACCTAAAAGCTCCTGCCTCGTCTGAAAATGGCACCAAGACGACAAAACACATTGAGCGTTAAGTAAAGCACACGTGAGAACAGCAATCGCAAACCATTCTTGGTGTAATTGATTCGATCACCAAATTGACATGCAAAACTGAAATTTCCATCAAGTATGATATGATGAAATGGGACTTTGATGGTCATATTTTAGTCAACGGTCAATTTTTTCTGAAGTCGTAAGCTCCTATTTGATGGTCATTATTTGGGTAAAACAATATTTTGAATAGTGATTTTTAGGAGAATGTGCGGATAAAATTAGGAAAAAAATTTGGGTTTAATTACAGAATATTTTATTGTATGAATAAATGGTTGAAAATGAGTGTGTAAAAAAAAAGAGTTTGAAAATAATAATTGTCAAACATGGGCTAAGAGCTTGTTTGGTAGGGATTTTTTAGGGGANGTCGTGCGTTTGAGCCACATTATTTTGGAAGAATGTATTTTGAAATAATAGATTAATGGAGAATGTGTGGTTGAAAAAGAAGGAAAAGTTATTGATGTGATGAAAAATATTATTTTATTGAAGAACGTGTGATTGAAAATAAGAACTGATTTACTGTAGAAAATGAGAATCCCTACTAAACAGACCCTAAATTAGTGTGTAAATTGTAATGCCCATATGACCTCTTTATGATTGACATTTACTAACATATATAGCCCCTGTTTGAGCCATAATGTCATTTGTAATAGTGTTTTGTTGAAAAATGTATTGTTAAAAATAAGAATTTTATTTTGTTTTACATAGAAAATTATTTTATGAGAGAATATATGATTAAAAATAAATTTTAGAAAAATGAGTTTTGAAATAATGGAGGCCAAATATAAGCATAGTGATGCCAAAGGGGGACACTGGCCTCACCCATGAAAAGTTCCATGTCTAGCTTTTTGCGAGTGTGCATGTGTAATTGTAAACAATTAAGAGCCCGTTTGACATGGTTTCACTTCCTGTAGAAGATTTTTTTGAGAAAGTTATCTTACTTTTAATTGAAAACTAATTTTTGAAAAAAAAATTATATTCCAGAAGTGCTTTTAAAGGATATCACAGGTCCACATTGGACCAATTTCCTCTAAAAGCTCATTTAAATAGAAGATTCACTTTCATAAAATTAGTTAAATGGGTTCAAAAGCTCATTTTGACTTTTCAAAAGTTGTGTCAAATGGACTTTAATCCAACGTGATGTTATGTATTGTGATACTTTCATCCGTTGCTGTCACCATGCATGAGTGTAAGAAAGTTAAGAAAGTTGCCAAGTGAAGACATCATTTTAAGTTTACGTGCAAGGGCAGAGTCAGGGAAGGACAATATTCTTTTTTCCCCCTTTTTTTTTGGGCACTGGTCTAATACATAGAACAAACAAATGAAATAAATAACAGGGCTTGGACAGCCACAATTGCCCCCATCTCCGTGCCACTACTTTTCCTTTTTGTTTTCCAATCTTAACCTATATAAAGTGTGCGTTTGATTACGAATGTGAAATTTATATGAAAATAAAATAAATTTTAAACAATTGGCTTGCCTATAACTTATTTGTAGTTCAAGTTTAACATAGGTTTTGTTGTTTAAATTCTTTTAGGGCCTGTTTGATTTGGCATCATTTCCATGGAACTTGGAAATTGATTTCCATCTTTTTGATTTTGGCTTGTTTGATTTAACATAGATTTTGTTGTTTAAATTCTTTTAGGGCGTGTTTGATTTGGCATCATTTCTATGGAACTTGGAAATTGATTTCCATCTTCTTGATTTTGGCTTGTTTGATTGGTTTAATTTTCTTGACAATTCATTTCTTGTTTCTGGCTCACACGGTGCCAATTCATTGATTTTGAGATTTGGTGAGAATTAATTTTCCAGTTTTTTTTTTCTTTTTTATACAATGGAAACAAAATTTATCCAAAATTATAATAAATTATATTCCTTTAATGGACAATTTTCATATAAAATAAAGTCAAACGAATATCAAAAAAATTCAAAATTTCAATACAATTAATTGACAATTCTCACGAAAACAATTCTAGGTAATTCAATTTCTTGGAATTCATTTTCTTTTCACCCAAATTCTACACTTGTAATCAAACGGACCTTTAGTACTATTTTTATTAGGGTAATTAGTAGAAATGGTCCCCAACATTTACATTTTTTGCTAAAATAATGTCCTGAACTTGTCAATTTACAAGTTTAGATCCCAATACATCATTTTTATTAATTTATTATATTTTGTATAATGACCTGAAAATTTTTGACGTCATACCATGTAAAAATATTCTAACAAAATAATATAAATTATATTAAAAAATTTATCACACAAAAATAATAAACGTTAATGAAATAATTGAAAAAATTTAAAGAAGAGACAAGTTAGACGTCTCTTTTTGACTTATAGTATATAGTTCATCAATGATTATTTATGCTAAATGGTTAAAGAGTTAAGGATGATATTTGCCGACAACGTTTTGAGTTGTGATCTAAACTTGTAAATTACATCAAACCATAAGAATTATATTCACCGAAAATTATAAGAGGAGAAAAATATGGGAATTGACTAATTTACCCTTTTAAATATCATTGGCAAATTCCATGTGGACTATTTCTACAAATTACCATAAGTTTCTAACGGATGATTTAACGGTTCATGGATGGAAGGACCAATTGCACAAGAAATATTTGAAATAAAAGTACAAATGTCAATTTTAAAATGATAGGGACCATTTTAACAAAGAGTGTAAACGTTGGGACCATTTCTGCTATGGTGCCTAATGTCCATGCCATCTCTTTATGATGACATTTAACGCTATTACGCCCACCACATCCCTACATACAGCAGGGTCAAGGTAGGTTGGGCTTGCCCAGCCCACGAAAAGCCCCAGGTGGGGGTCTAGCCAGGTGGCTGTCGTAGACCTCTCTGCAACTAGGCTGATCTCGTAAGATTAATTAGAGATAGACGAAATCTAATCAATGGCTGCTATAATAACATACTTACCCAACTATCTTTGAAAAATTACTCGTTTCTCATCGAACTTTCCTATACATTACTACTCGCTCACCGATATTTAAAATGTTACTCGTTACTCAGCTAAATTTAAACAAAATAATTAGTTCACTAAACTTTGTTAAAGATAACATTAATGGAACTGGTGATACTCGCTCACCGATATTTAAAATGTTACTCGTTACTCACCTAAATTTAAACAATATAATTAGTTCACTAATCTTAGTTATAGATAACATTATTGGAACTGGTGATTGATGATTAATTTTGTTTAAATTTGAGTGAGCAATGGGTAATTTTTTAAATTTCAACGATCAAGAAATTATCTATAGCAAAGAGTAATTTTCTAGATTTCCAAAGTTCAATGACCATTAATTTAATTAATTCATCTATCCGAAGAATCCCACCAATTAAAAATTCAACAAAATCAACAATTGATTGATGAATAACATTATTCTTGTTCTTGTTGAAGAATACCTCGGTGGAGCTGCCATTTGATAATCTCGAGTTGGAGTTGGGATTGGTACGAGGCTGTGTATTGTTTTGATCTAAATGCAGTGCTCCACTTTCCTCGAGTAACTTGCCTAGCTTTTCACTTTTCTTGGCGGCAAACTCTTTCAATACATCTATGCCACCGTGAAACAAATTAAACCACTATTTTCACCAACTGGCTTAATTGGATTATCATAACATTGTAGAGTACCAACCTTCAAAGGTGATGAGTCGATAAACTTTTCCAACAAGCAAAGTATCATCCGGGCGTAGAAGTTTGAGCTGATTCACTGGTGAGGTGATTACTAGAGCAACATAATGGCCAGGATTGGAAGTCATGACCTCATGGGCACTCACGGCCGCCCAGTAAAATCGCTCCACCTTTTTACCACCCGGATCTTGAATCACCACCGACGCTCCCTCCGCCGCCTGGCAATTTCCCATTCTTCTTTTGCTTATGAAAATGGAAGAGATACAGTGACACGACCCACAAATCAGTTACCAATGGTACTTAACTTTTCTGAATCTGAAGAAGAAAAGAAAAGAAAATCTTACACCATACGCATTAATTACTGTATGTAACTGGAATGAATCCGTTAGGAGATATGAGAAGAAATTCTGTAAATTGGAGAGCGTGTAAAGAAAGCATAAATAGGGGGATTGATCTGATCTGCCAAACCACCTGAAAATTTGCAGGCTTTAGTTTTTCCTTTGTTATTTATGATTGATTTGGGTTTTACGTTTGCTGGTGGGATGGTGAGTGGGCACCCACATAATAAACTGGAATTCAATGATAGTCAAGCATGTACTATTTGGAGAACCAATCCTGTCAATTTAATCATTAATGGGAAAATTTCACCATCCATCTTCTATCTTATCGACCTAATAGTAAGTTTAAACCCAACTTTTGAAAATGAGCAATGACTCATTTGTCATTACTTTTAAAAAGTATAAAAATATTTCTAAAAGAATGATATTATTCATTCTCACTGGAATTTAGCTCTAGTTTATGTGTCAATTATATGACATTAAATGATAAATTCAATTAAATGAGTCATGTGACTTTGTATTTAAATGAATTATCATTTAATACCATGTAATTGCCACATAGACTGGAGCTCAATCTTAATGGTGATGAATAGCATTACTCTTTCTAAAATTAAGAAATTGCTTTTATTATATTTGAATAATTTTTGAAAATATAATATTTGTCCGACTAGAAAATTTTTTAGACAATATAAGAAGAGTAAACAAAAGCAGAAGTTCTGTTAAACAGATGTACTTTAAATTGATCTTTCCCATGAAGCTTTCCTATAAGAAGTGTAAACAAAAGCAGAAGTTTTGTGAAACATATGTACCTTAAATTGATCTTCTACCTTCCACAATAGTTACACAATCAATTTTTCGTGACAAAAAATATTCGAATATACAATAAATTTGTAACGTGACCACGAAAATGTGGTTAATTTAAAATTTTCAACCAGTCGAGAAACAGAATCTAACTTTACAAAGTTGTACGTGACTACCTAATGATTTACAAATATTTTTAATAATGAAAGGTTCATAATCAACACCTACTTGTTAATCAAATAATGGGTTGAGGACTAGTAGTGAAACTTTCCCTTGTCTAATATTCATCTCAATTGCCTACTTGAAAAGATAAAAAGGTAAAATTCTGTGGCCTTGGACGTGCACGGATGCCTAACTCTTTTTGCTTTGTCTGCCATCATTTTTGCCCACTAGTAAAAAACACTCTTTTTGAGAATTGTACCAAAAAGAAGAAACTTTTTGATCGACACTTGGGCGTGTATTAGTTCTTGTTTTAGTCCGTAATCATCCACCACCACCACCACTGTTCTTCTGTTCTACATTATCCATTTGACCCTCATTATTCCACCTTATGACAAGAGGGATAGCAATTTTTTGAAGAATGTGTGATTAAAAAATAAATAAATTTTGAATTTACGTGTAATGATATTTCAAAAATGCTTAATGTACAGTCAAAATTGTACACCAATTTTGACAATCCTCTCTCATGGGGTGGGGCCCACGACTATTTTAATTGTGGACCGTACCAAATGTATGTGAGAGGGCTGTCAGCGTGTATTAGTTCTTGTTTTAGTCGGTAATCATCCTCCACCACCACCACCACCACCGTTCTTCTGTTCTACATTATCCGTTTGACCTTCATTATTTCACCTTATGATGAGAAGGATAGCAATTTTCTGAAAAATGTGTGATTAAAATTTTCCATCTCATTGGGAGAAGTCTTCGTCATATTGTCATTTTATGCAAGAAGACTTCCTTTACAGTGTAATTCAAATACTCAAGTTGTCAGCAAAGTAGCATTGATCTTCATTAGGTACATAAAAATTATTTTTATAATTGAATGATTTCCTAGCGAAGTACCCATTGTTGACAATCGAAGAACCAACTAATACTTGATAAATACAATTCATTGGGTTCTGACTTCCGAAGGACTCTCTATAACCCATAAAATCTCTATAAAATTTCTGCAGGCACATAACCCATTATGGAATTATCAAAAAGATTAGTCCAACACGCAAGGAACCTACAGAACTTGAAAAAAAAAATAGTGAACACATGGAGTGCGACTAAAATGTCCGGAATGTGAAGAGGATGAATATTTACCTATTAACGTGAATTTGGGGCTTCAAAATTTGTGACGAATTATGATTTCATCCAGTTCCTCAAAACCCTCAAAAATCTACCTTCACTTTGTTAACAGTTCTTCGGGCAAGGTAATGGAAAAGGTAGTTTCTCAAAATCGTCGATGGCCAAAAAATTCTACCTTCGCTCTGGGTTGATTATATGGGCAAGGTAATGGAGCGGACTTCCGGCGATATGGAGCAAATTTTTGGCGTAATGGAGAAAGGAGAGAGGATTTATTTGGAGTTGGTTGTTTCTAATTATAGAGAAAGAAGTTGGAGAAAAGCTGTGCGTAAAAAGGGATAGAAGACCGGTCCACTTTTGCAAGTCTAAGTCCAATTCTAGTTCCCTCCAATTCGTGCAAATAATTTATGCTAGATCAGCTCATTTTAAATCCCTATTTGAAACCCTGGCCTTGTCTTTGTAGCTTTACTCTTATAACAAGACTGCAAGCAAACGTGGCGGTAAATACGCGCATTTTATAAAGGCTAAATTTAAGTTGATATTCTCAGTATTGTGCCGACGATCCCTTTTTGTTTATTATTTATTTGTTATTACACTCGTATTTCTAACAATTTAAAATTATGGTAACTCGTGATTTTAACTAACAGAAAATCTTTATTTGAACATTAAATGAATGTATAATGCTCATGTGCCAAAGCAAGAAGATAGGTTGCATAAAAGAATAAAGGTTTTTAACATGATAAAATAATTGATAGAAAACGAAATACAATGTAGAAAGAAGATTGAGAAGAGAAAGAGAGCAAGAGATTCAATAATGGCTACATCTTTATTGATTGAATTGATTTATGAATACAAAGCATATGTCCCTATTTATAGGGAAATTACATTGATAGAAAAGGTAAATATATTAAATATTACGAGAATCAAATCAAATCAAATTGATTAAGGTAAATATAAAATCAAATAAAGATAATATCAATCAAGATAATATTGATTTGATATTATCTTCAATACTCCCCCGCAAACTCAAGGTGGAGAACTTCGGAAGCTTGAGTTTGGAATTTGATANCAAATACTCAAGTTGTCAGCAAAGTAGCATTGATCTTCATTAGGTACATAAAAATTATTTTTATAATTGAATGATTTCCTAGCGAAGTACCCATTGTTGACAATCGAAGAACCAACTAATACTTGATAAATACAATTCATTGGGTTCTGACTTCTGAAGGACTCTCTATAACCCATAAAATCTCTATAAAATTTCTGCAGGCACATAACCCATTATGGAATTATCAAAAAGATTAGTCCAACACGCAAGGAACCTATAGAACTTGAAGAAAAAAAAATAGTGAACACATGGAGTGCGACTAAAATGTCCGGAATATGAAGAGGATGAATATTTACCTATTAACGTGAATTTGGGGCTTCAAAATTTGTGACGAACTATGATTTCATCCAGTTCCTCAAAACCCTCAAAAATCTACATTCACTTTGTTAACAATTCTTCAGGCAAGGTAATGGAGAAGGTAGTTTCTCAAAATCGTCGACGGCCAAAAAATTCTACCTTCACTCTGGGTTGATTATATGGGCAAGGTAATGGAGCGGACTTCCGGCGATATGGAGCAAATTTTCGGCGTAATGGAGAAAGGAGAGAGGATTTATTTGGAGTTGGTTGTTTCTAAGTATAGAGAAAGAAGTTGGAGAAAAGCTGTGCGTAAAAAGGGGTAGAAGACCAGTCCAGTTTTGCAAGTCTAAGTCCAATTCTAGTTCCCTCCAATTCGTGCAAATAATTTATGCTAGATTAGCTCATTTTAAATCCCTATTTTAAACCCTGGCCTTGTCTTTGTAGCTTTACTCTTATAACAAGACTGCAAACAAACGTGGCGGTAAATACGCGCATTTTATAAAGGCTAAATTTAAGTTGATATTCTCAATATTGTGCCGACGATCCCTTTTTGTTTATTATTTATTTGTTATTACACTCGTATTTCTAACAATTTAAAATTATGGTAACTCGTGATTTTAACTAACAGAAAATCTTTATTTGAACATTAAATGATTGTATAATGCTCATGTGCCAAAGCAAGAAGATAGGTTGCATAAAAGAATAAAGGTTTTTAAGAGTATATTCTCTTGATAAAATAATTTTGTATCTGATTCGATAGCTTACTTTTTAACCACACGTTCTTCAAAATGTTATTTTTCATAAAATTTATTTTCAAAAGAGCTCTAACTGCTCTACCAAACAGGGGAGAATTTTTTTTTTTTTTTGGATAAGACATCACACGAGTGTTATGTGTTAATTTAATGTTTAAATAAATATTTTCTTTTAGCAAGGAATATGTATGTCACTTTTTTAAAAGGCCAAATATATGAATACAACAAATGATACATTGGAGGCAAGGATGATACATTTATGAAAAACTGGAAACGTGTGGTGGAAATTTACCCTGTAATAAGTACTGAAATAAAGTAAAGAAGTTTTGATTCTACGCAGGGGATATTATTTAAATGGTAAAAAACAAAAAAACCAAAAAACAAAGAAAGTTTTCCGATAAGTGTATTTTGTACACTTATTTGAATCATTAAACTCGGGTATTGTGATTGATTGGACGAATTATAGTTTAATTTTGTATTAAATTTATTTTTAAGTAAAATTCGAGGCAAATTAAGTGAATTAGAATAAATGAGGCCAAAAAGGGACAAATATGGAGGAAATCCAAAGTACGGGGACCAAATGCAAACTTTCAAAAGTTGTTTCGAGATGCAAACGATAATTGAAGATCACATAGGATCAAATTGATGCACTT